ATAAAAACTGACTTTACTTACACAGACAAGGGTTTAGAATAGCCTTGATTAATGATAGTGCTATTTAAAAAATTGTTACTACAAAAAAGTGAAGAATAAAGAAAAAAATACATATTTTTTAAAATTTTGGTTGATAACAATGACAGCAGCAACACAAATTCGTGGAGAATTCAGTGAATCCCAAACTGTCTTAGAGTTTGCTGCAGTTGACTCTGTCAATACATATTTAAGTAATAAAATTAGAATGAATTCCAGTCATTATCAGAAATGCGAAGGAAAAATAGGTTTTCAGGTAATAAACTAGCTTATTTTGTTCATAAGTAAGTTATCCAGCCCAATATTCTTTAAGGTTAACATCTGATGAAGAATAGCATGTTTTGCATAAAGACATCCATACTCAGCTAATCTGAGATGAAAATGACCTAATGAGTCCCAAATGTTTTAGAAATAAATCACGGGCTGAGAGAATGACAACATTTATGTGAGGCACCTGAAATGAGGCTTTCTTACTGGTTATCCTATTAAAGGGTCAAGAACACCGTGCATCTATAAATAAATCTCTCAATTACCAATGAAGACCGTAAACCTTTAAGCGCTTTAACTTCTGCATTTGCTAGTAACTGATTTTTGCCCCTAATCCCTTTAGCCTAGCAGCTTCATAGATGTCTATTTTTAGTTATTTAAATCTGCTTTAAAAAATGTTAAGAAATACAATACCATATATGCAAGGTATGGTTAAAGGATACAAAGGACAAAGAAGTACTGAGGTCAAGTCCACAATACAAAAGACATAGACTAATGTCAAAACATGAGAATGCAAATTTAAGCATTAAGAGCTAAGTCTCTTGGCTGCAGAAATCCTCTACTTCTTTTTGCCTTCTGATATTCCTATGTTCCAATTTTTTTTTTCAGTACACTATCCTGTCGTAATCCAAAAATTTGAGACTAGGCATTCTATTTTAAAATTCCATTTTTCCATCTCATACTTGAATTAGTCTTTATATTCACAAGATCAGAACTGGCATGTTAAATCTACAGAAGCTAAAGGGCTAGTTAGGAGAGAATTTAATGCAGCAAAGAGCTCCATCTCCTTATTCCATTATGATCTGCTTACTGAGTCTAAAAACCACATGCTTCATTAAGTTACTTAAAGGTTTTAGTTCAAAGCAATTGAACAGCTTTTAACTTCCCATTGGCAACTGCATGTAATTCATGGGCTGGGTAAAATAATATTTCAATTGCCTGAGCAAAATGTAAACATATAGGATATTAAGATTTAGCTATCCAATATCAATAATTTACTGTTGATTATTTTGGTGATGGCATATAATAATACTGAAATTTAATACCATACCATATTTGCCTTTGTATCTTCCAAAAGAACAAGGAAAGTTACAAATTCATAGAAAAATGTTCATGTTTGCTAATGTACAACAATATTGAGTATAAGGAATATACAAATTATTAATTCTCAACAACTTCACTGGAAACTAAGGGAGAAGTATATATGAACATGCTACCAAGAAATAATTTCATTGTTTTGGTGGCCAATTCTTTGATGTCTGATACAATTTTGTGACTCTAACTATTAGAGAAAAAGTACCTTTAAATATAAGGAAATATAGCTCTTTTACTTTCTTCCAATAATGGTTAATGGCAGGAAATAAGAAAAAAAACTTTAAATAAATGACTGTTATCCATTAACTGTCCCATACTAACTCATTATCAAGATGACCAGTTTAAATTATTCATAAATAGCTATGCAAAATTGAATTGAGAAGTAGTGTTTGGTGAATATGCTCTTTTGTTTCCATGGAAACAAATGTTGAGTTGCATTTCTTTAAAGTTGTTTTTTTTTTTTTTTTTTTTTTGTACCAAGGATTGAACTCAGGGGCACTCAACTACTGAGCCACATCCCCAGCCTTTTTGTATCTTCTTTAGAAACAGGGTCTCCCTGAATTGCTTAGCACCTCGTCCTTTCTGAAGCTGGCTTTGAACTCATGATTCTCCTGTCTCAGCCTCCCTAGCTACTGGGATTACAGGTGTGTGCCACCATGCCCAGCTTAAAGCTGGTTTTAAAGTGGAAAACTATAGAATGTCAATATCCCAGAAACCTCAAAACTTAATTGGGAAATTAATTAATTAATTAATTAATATTATTTCATATTTTTAAAATTCATTTGGTTTTCAAAACAATAGTCCATAGCATGCCATATAGCTCAGGTAAACCATCTATAATTTCTACTGATTTTCGTTACCTGTTTGATTATGTCTTGTCATCTCCCCTCCCCTTCATTTTAGTAGAATGGATTTATTTGGCTTTGCATCCTCAGCATGTGACGCAGGATTCACCTTAAGATCTTATTTAATAAAAGCCATTTAAATGAATGAATATAATAAACTATTTTCTCCTTTCAGTTCTGACAAAACAGTGTTTTCCATTAAAACTAACAGTTAAATTTGAGTCCTGACTTCTATAGTTAGAAGTGACCAAAAGCCAATCACAACATAATCACATTTCTTTCTATCAATTTCCAAAGTCAAGGAGTTGTTGTTATTTTGTTTTTCCTTCTTTTTTTGGTATTGAACCCAGAGGTCTTTTACTAATGAGTCACATTCCCAGTCCTTTTTTATTTAGAGACAGGGTCTCCCTAAGTTGCTTAGAACCTTGCTACATTGTTGAGGCTGCTTTTGAAGTTGTGATCCTCTTTCTCAGCCTCCCAAGCCACTGGGATTACAGAGAAGCAGCACCATGCCCAGCTATTGTCACTTTTAAACAACATAAATCATTAAAAGCACCTAGAATATTTTTAGCATAGTAAGAAATCAGTAAATGATACCTATAGTAATTATAGTAACTGCAGATACTGGGGTTGCTATCTCTTCTTACCAGGCAAGATACTAGATGCTCTGTCTTCATTCATCAGTGTAAGCTTGCTTTTTACCTCCATTCTTCTGACAGAGCTTCTGAAAAGCTAGTGCTGTACATTAAAGTTGAGGTCAGGATTTGGAACCTCCTCTGCCTGACTCCGGGCCCTGGGATTTCCCTAATACCTCATGCTACCTGTTCAGGATGTGTCTCAGATATCCTGAAAGACTCAACCTCTCTTTTAATTTTTTTTTTCCAAAAATACTTCTATAAATTAAAGAATGGCCATCTGATCCATTACAGAAGATAATTAATTAAAATCAGTAGGTTGTAGAAAGAAATTTATCTAAACTATATTTCATTTTTATTTTCTAAGGAAATCAATTGGGTTTCCTTGGTATAGTGCAAGAAAGCATAAAGCTGAATTTTTAATTTGGAAAAAAAAAAACACCTCATTGTTTCACAGGCCTGAGTCCTTCTTAAGTGTCACATGGTTGCCCCAGTGAATATCCAAAAAGTCTTCTCTATTGATATCTGTTTTGTTATAGCATCTGGTCACACACTTTTTTTTTTTTAGGAAATTCTATTAAAAAATAAAAACATTCTTTTCATATATAGTGAGGTTCATGAATAGCAAACTTTTAAATAAAGAGATGAGAATGCTGGACCTTCTACTAGAAATCTTCAATGGGTTATAATAATTAATATGCAAAAAGTATTATTGTTAGAAAAACACTCTCATGTAATCTGGGCATTGAATTTGAATCCTGGTGAGACTAGTGTTAACATGGGGTAACATGTATTAGCAAATAACAACACCACCACCCTCCGATATAAACAAACAAAATCAATACTCTGAAGCATAGGCTATTCCATGAATAAAGTCATATGTCTAGAAAATGGTCAGTCAGTGTTATAACACATGAGCCTTTTCACTACATTTTTCAAATTAAATGTATGAAGTTGAAAGGTTCTGTGGAGAAATATTAACATTCCTAATGAAGAGGCAGAGATGTAGTAAATAGGGCATGGATACGACACATAAAATAGTCATTGAAATTTAGCTAGGATTTCATTCAGTTCAAGTATTTGTTTTTTCATTGTTATCTAGTTATAATAAGTAAGGTATGTTTATAAAGTTACAGATCAGTAAAAGGCAGATGACCAAAACAAGTATTAGACTGAACCATATTAGCTGTCAGACACTCTACCATTCTGACCTACAAAAATGACAAATTAAACTTAAAGCCATGCTTAATTAATAATTACTTCCAAAACACATTATAATATTATGTTAAGATGCTTTTATCTACAGCAATATTAAATTAGTTCTAATTCAGAAACCTAATTCCTATTAAGTTGGAAATTACCAATATGGAGGATACAATTAATAAAGAAATAATTCTTATTTTGAGAAATTAAATATGTATTACATAGATCTTTGTGTAGTTATGATGAAGTCAAATGTATATTTTTAAATAGAATACATATTTTGGAAAAGAATAGTACAGTTCAATGATGGCCAAGCCACTGCTATAATACTATGATACAAAAATTCTTGAGAGGCTGTTATAATTGTGTCATACATCAACACATTGAACACTGAAGCAGGTACGACAATTCAGCCATCTTTTACCAACCCAGACATTAACACGCTTTTAAAAGTATAATTACGTGTATTTTTCAAAATATGGAAAATGCATGTATTTTTCAAAAATGTTATTTATATTATCAAGCAATTAGTTATTATATCATTTTTAAATGAATTGATAATATTTAAAATTATCAGTCTTGGTATCAGTACAGTAAATATTTAATTATCACCCACATAAACAAAAGCTTCTGGAAGTACCCCCCCAAATTTAAAAACATAAGGTTTATATGAGCAAAAAGCTTAGAAATATAAACAAAAATATAGTGTGTGAAATATTAAAATGGTTCTTCACTTTTAACAATTCTCTTTGATGAATACCTTTATGATTCTTAAAAAGGTGTAAGAAATTATTTAAGATAGATCTATTTAAAAATCCTTACAACATTTTGTTCATGATGTAAAAAAAAATTGAGCCCTATAGAAATTGCCCCATTTGCAAAATATATTTATAACTTAACCAAAATAAATAATTCATACCTCACCAAGTGAGTAATAACGTCTTGGGATCTGGGAGTCAGGATAGATGTTTTCTAGGTACCAAGAGAAAGGCTTACACTTCAGATTTTCTCTTAGTGTTTTTCTGACTGACACATCTCCATAATCCACTTTGACAACACCTGGAATTTTTCAGAGAAACACAAATCAGTTGATGCTATTTTCATTTTAGCACTTTTCACTCTGTTTACTTTGCTTTCAATTTTTGTTCTCATCATTATAATTTCATCAAATTCAATTGCATGTGCATCTGCTATTATACTGGTTTTCTTAGTACACATACAATTATCACATGAATAGATGCAAAAACAGTTCTTCCATTGGTTATGACTTTTTAAATGCAAATATTTATCACCAAGTACTGGTAATTCTTATATCAAATAATTAATCAACTAAATGTAAATTGGTATTAATTTAGTAACTCATAATCAAAGCTTAACAGAACTATGCAATAATGTTATCTGTTTTTCTTTTTAAAAATTTCAATATTTTTGCTGATCTTTATATTTTCCCTAAAATGTGTTCACCATCTGTAGATTTTATGAGAAATTTATATAAATATGATCCTTACAATGAACTGCACATGTGATCCAACTTTCACTTGTTTTCAATGTTAGATCATTTAAGTCCAGAAAGCAACCAGGCACAGTTAAAAAAAAAAAAGACCCATTATTTAGGATATCCAGACCAACCAGTAGAGCCAATAAATCACCCAATAAAATATGCAGCCATTGTTTTGACAAACTGAATGTCTGTGACTAATCCCAAATTTTTAGTTTACTACTTTCAAAAGTAGCAAAATTCTCAAATTCTATCACCAGCTAGCTCCATCTCCTTCATCTCTTCAATCTTTTTTTCAAAATTAAGTGGCATAATATAGTCGAAAAGCATTCTTGATTATGCTTAAACAGCAAAACCATTTCCTTCCAAAAAAAAATATTGATCTCTTCAGTTGGTGTTTGGACAAAAATAACAAGGTCTTTGGACCTTTTGAAATCAATAATATTTGCTTGCAAAATCTTTCTATTCAGAACTTCCAATCTGGAGTGCAACCTTCAAATGAAGAGGCTCAAAAACAATTTTGTATTTTGATCACTAAAAGAATATCTTACTGTGTTGTGGCAATTGAAATGAGCTACATTATACATAAAGAGATGCCATTGGTCTAGAGTCGTAGTCTCAGAGGATTTAATTCAACAGTTATTTTTACTGTTCTGGTTCCGTTTTTGAAGTGAATAAATTTAATTGAGATGGCTTATTTAATAACAGCATTCTCCTTTTTTCATCTGAAGATTTAGTAATCCTGGCTTCAGATTTTTTTCCTAGGCATGTTTTATGAGTAGTTTTCTGACAGGAAGTCATGTCTGAAGAAGACTCACCTGCATATAATTTTACAGTGGTCCACAGAAAACATTAATTGCTCACCTTGGCAATGGGCAGTTGGTGGAGATTCAAAGAAATTATTGAGGAAAGGTAAAGCCTTCTTTACCTGCCATCCCTATATCACCCCTTTGCACAGGCACACAAACTGGGATTTTGTCTTAATCCCAATTATGGTAAATCACTTTTAGAAATGCAAAATAATATTGTGATCTTATTTCTATATTTTGAGGAGAATTTTTTTTCTCCCTCCAGGTTCACTATTTTACTATTCAGAAGTGAAATATTATGAAAAGACAGCAGGGCTAACCAAATACTCCATATAGGTCATATTTCCCAGGCATCTGCATTTAGGTAAGGGCATCTGGTTGGTCCTGGTCAATGAACTGTGGGGGAAATGGATAAAGTCACTTGCAGTCTTAAAGACAGAAGAACAGCCATGAGACACCACAGGTTCCTTCCCTCTCCTATAAGGACTGAGAGACTTTGTATCCCAGCATGTGCAGCTTCAAGACAACAGGACCCTTATTGTGCCTGTGACTGTGTTACAGTGACTATGAGGCAGACCTGGAATTAACCTGGAAATGCCATCTTACTTGTTTCCAAACATTTATCTCCAACCCAAACCTCCCCCAAATTGTTTTTCAATTGTTTATGCAACAATTTTATTGAAATATCTAATAGGTATCTCAAGAATGGCAAATCTAAAATATGATTCTATAACATGTTCTGTCTCTAAGATTCTCCATGTCCATTATTAGCTCAAATAACCATCAGTTTTTCACTGGGCTAAGACAGATAATTCTCTCTATCTCACACCCACACTTGCAATTCCTTAGCAACTGCCACTAGTTATGCCTTCACAATATATCCTTAGTCCTCTATTGCTTCCATACTGGTCCTATCCTCTCATCTCTTAGATCAGTCCCGGGAGCCATCCTTGAACTGTGCATGAACTAAAAATGAAGTGAAAGCCATTAGACAGGAAAGTCTGATATCTGGGAACTCCCAGGGACAGCCCTACTGGTTGGAGACTGCCCAATACATGTGACTTCCTAATTCGCTTCATCTAAGTTCAGCACTGCAACAGAGATGGGATGACCTGCTGGATCCACACAGCCACACAGCCTCTTAGAGATGGGTGTGGTTTGCCAAGATGCCAGCCAACCCGTTTGCTGCAAGAATCCTGTCACACTGAGAAGCAAGAGTCCTCCTGCTGAAACCTGCTTTTGATGTGTTTTCCTTTAAATAAAGAAATGAAGCAATTTTTTTAGTTGTTGGGTTCCAGCTCCTTTCAGGACTGGAGGAACTATCAGACACTCTGCTTCCCTTTTATACCTAATTTCTGGCTCTGTCTCTTATTTCTTTATATTTATATCAGACTTTCTATTTCTCAGGCAGCTCACACCTTCTGAGCAGAAAGCTACCCTGGCGGCGTACTGGCAAACCCTTAATAGACCAGCATTGAAAAGGCCTCCCAACTAGCACTCTCAACATTTTACATTTCTCCATCTATCTTTTATTCACTGATGCCTACTCATTAGACAACTTATTCAAAATACAAATAAAATTATGTTACTTCCCTGCTCCTAAGCATCCAGTGATTTTCCATTGTACTGAGAATAACTAAACATCTCTTAATGATTGACAGGAGACTCTTCATTGAAATGGCTCTTGGCTATCTCTCTGAATTCATCCTTGTTTTGCTTTTCTTCAAACACACCAAGCTCATTTCTTATACAAGGTGTGTAATTATCCTCCTGTCTGGACTAGTATTAGTTTGGGACTTTCAGGAATTGTCCTTTACTTGTTCCAAGTCTTTCGTCAAACTTTACTTATCCAGGTTTACCCTGATCTTATCGAAGTTGACTGCTTCCTTGCATCATCCTTGGTCATGTTCTATTTACTTAATTTTTCTCCATAGCACCAACCCTAAAATTATATGACAGATTAATTTGCTCATTTCCTTTAGTACAAGATTTTGGACAATTTTTTTAATCTCTTGAAGCTTAAGATATCTTATTGAAAATACCTTGTAATATATTGTGAATAGGAGATATTGTCTGGGAAAGGCCTACTACAGTGCCTGGAATTTAACAATTGCTTAATATCTAGTATTTATTATAACGTATATCTGTTGTTTTTGCATGTCTGATATCCATCTGACTTTTGGTAAAAGCATTAGTTTTCTTTGAGTAGACATCCCTCCCTGACTATCAGTTTGGGTGGGGCTGTTCTCATTCCCCTTCCTAACCTTTTAGCTCCATCTAGGTGTACAAACTAAATTCACATTACTAGAGAGTCTTGATAAAATGAAAATTCTGATTTGGTTGGTCTCCAGGAGGGCCTTTCAGTCTGCAGTTCAGACAAGCTCATGGAGGATGTTGCTCAGACCAGAATACGATTAGCACTCAAAATAATCAGAGCATTTCATTTATCAACCTTATATACAAACAGATAGTAATGATTGACTCCTGGATGGCCCTGTGAGAACCTAATACAAGTTTACTCCAAGAAGTTGTTTGTACCATCAGAAATTTAAAGCTCTATTTCCTCTGGAATTGGTACCTGCAAAGATGATTTAAACCTGAGCTTATGGAGATACTCTATAGAGAAGGCCTTGGACAGAGATACCATGAGGAGTAAGATAAATAACCAGAAGTGTGTGTATGGGGAGGGAGGGAGGGAAGGGAGGAGAAAGAGAGAGAGAGAAAAAGAGAAAGTGGGCCCAGAGGTCAAATCATGATTAATTCAACCAATATTTGCTGTAGTCCATCTATATACAAGGCACTTATTCTAGATATTTTGGATAAATTAATAAACAAACAAAACTAACCACCTTGTCTATGGATTTTATATTATACCAAAGATATATATATATATATATATATATATATATATATATATATATATATATATATATATATATGATACATGCTATTACATGCTATGGCAAAAATAGACTTGGACAGGAAAGGATGATTGCAACTGAAGGAATCTTAATACATTATCACTTTTTGCAAAGACAATTTATATAAGTTGACAGTTTTTAAGGGAAGTCTTTCAATGAGACTTACAAAAGCCCTAAAAGACTTTGATGATGAGATAAAAAATGTATAATAAGAAAAAAGTGTATTTTAATTAACTCCAGGTTTGTGGTTTGATTAATAGAAAAATGATAACACTTATGGGTTGTTCTATTTTATTTAATAACTTTTCCTTTATTAATCATCTTTAAACACATTGCATGGTAGTATTAAATTCATATATTTAGAGCAAACATGTTTTAAATTTTAAATAACTATTACATGGAAGATCATAATATTCCCAGTTAGTACTTCCCTAGTACAGACCTAGTAATTCTAAGAATTCTAGTTTTCTATAATCAAGGTATAAAAAACAAATGACCTGATTGTACACTACAGCTTACAATCTAATGGATAAAAGTATCTTTTGCAGAATAACTTAAAGTGGAGAAAAGGGGAAACTATTTTCCTTCTATAAAGAATGCTTAAATAAATCAATTGTACATCTAGTAGACAAAATATAATTTACATATTAAAATAATTGTCAATATAAGAATATGAAAAATGTTAATAAAAACCTAAAATTTTATGTGTGTGTGTTTATATATATATATAATACTGCCACTAAACCAACTCAAATGGAAATAAATGAAATAGCAAGAATCTGAGAAAAATAAAAACAGTACCTTCCCTTTGCTACTCAAAAAAATTGTACA